ATTCCAAATTGGGCCCCAAAAAAAAAAAAAAAAAAAAAATCAGACATGTCCTAATAGGCCACACACCATGGTTGAATGTGGGCCAAATGAGCAGCACTCTCTATTGTCCCTCCAGCAATGGATCCCTGATCCGTGGGGGTTCAGTCTGACAAAGCCACGGTCTAACCACCTGGCTGTAGAATCCCTGGTCCTCGTCGTCATCTCTACACTTTCTGAAGCTAGGAAGTTGACTTCTCGCAAAGTGTTCTATTGCACCTGGAAGTCATACTTTATTTGGTGTGAACGACATAGGCTTCCTCCCTGCCAATACTTGATTGGGCATGTCTTGGCCTCTCTCCATTCAGGAGAGCATGTCTCACCTTAGGTACCATCAAGGGTCAAATTTCCGCATTGGTTATTCACTTTCAAAAGCCTTTTGTCTCGCACTTCCTTGTGAAGCTCTATGTACAGAGAGCTGCCCCAGATGCTACCCGGTGACACCATGGGATCTCAACCTTGTTGAGGCCTCCTCTTGAACTAATTTTAAGATATTTATTTGGCTGATCTCTCACAAGGCTGCCCTTCTTGTGGTTCTTAGTACCACTAGGTGGGTTTCCAATCTGGTGGCTTTTTCCTGCAAGGAACCATTTCTAGCGTTACACAGGGATAAGGTTCTAGAGGCCTTACACCTTCTTTCTACCCAAGTCTGTCTTCCACCTTTTTTTATTTAGAACATTGTCCTCCTTTTTCTTTGTCCTGCTCTGAAGCACCCCAAGGAGCTTTCTTCCCATTGTTTAGATGTGGTGTGAGTAATGAGGTTTTGCTTCTTGGCTTTAACTTCCTTCCAGCAATCAAATCACCTCTTTGTTCTTCCTGAAAGCTTCTTAATCTACATAGGTCAGTGGATCATACAGGTCTTTGTTCAAGCCTAAACATCGAATCATAAGATTCCACCTCTACTTGTCAGGGCACACTTGGCTAGATCAGTTAGTGCTTCTTGGGCCTTCTAGCACTAGGCATTTAGTTCTCAAATTTGCAAGGCTTGCTACCTGGTTCTCCATTCACATGTTTGCTAAGTTTTACCAGGTGGATGTTCAGGCCTCCTCTGATGCCAGGTCACAAGGTTGCTTCAGGCTGCTTCCTGTGTTGGGGTATTTAATCCCCCCTTCTACAGCTCTAACTGATTTTGCCAGTTTGCTCTACTCCAAGTTAAAAAAATTTACAGGAATTCAAAAATCCTGTTTTATACAGCAGATATGTTTAGTTAGATGAGAGGTCTGATAAATATTCATGCTTAAATCGTCTCTCCATGAAATACACTGGGTGCTAAATAGCACACTTTTATTCAATAAATGCTCAATAAAATGTAACCTACACTCAGTGGTTCAGTGCTTCAGAAAACAAGAAATCCATGGCCCTTGTTTCAGAAATGTGTAGTTAAAGTTGCTATTAAAGGATGTTCTATCAACGTCTTGATGAAACCAATACTAAAACACAGGAGTTACAATTTTACTGTCCATATGTTCTTCAGGATCATGTGCAACAGGAAATACACAACTACATTTTCCCACGGAGTGTTTATGTATTCCCATACTCTTGTGTGAACAGCCACTACTTCTGTGGTCCAGTGAGCCTGCTGCTTTAAAACATTTAGCACTTATACCAATATTTTAAGCTTTGCCTTTAAATACTTTGTATACATAACATACAGTATTTATTATATTCCAGTTTTGGAAAACTTCCAAATTTCTAGCAAATGGTTTAATTGTGTGAAAATAGATATTTAATTTAAGCATATTTTACATTGCTGGACAGCTGCACAAGCAGATGTGTTTTTTAGGTTTCGATAGTGGTCTCAAGTGATCTTCAGGATGTTTGCTTTGGCTCTTCGATTTGCTTGGATGTATGGGAAGTAAAAATTATATTTTCCTATATGTGAAAATGATGTGCGTGGGCTTTTTCCTTCCCTGATTATCTCACAGAATTTTATTAGTTGACATTTGATGATGCGAAAGAAGTCCCATCTTACTTTTCAATAATAAAATAATGAAAACCTTAGAAAATGTATTTGATATTATGTTTTCGTAATCGGTAGATAAAAGACAAGTGCTTAAAGAACAACCTTTCCTGGAACTGATAGTTTAATTTCGTGTGGTTGCAACCAAGTTGAAATATTATATTGGCTTCCTTTTGTCTTTCTGAGACTCCTGCAATAAGCTATCCCTACAGGGAGTGTGCTCCAGACGTTAAAAAAAAAATGTGTAGTCTTGCACTTCCCAAATGTATAATAAACAAGAATAAACCAAGAATTGGGAAGCCTGCCTGCAATAGAGTGACACCTTTTTGTTATGGCCCCGTGAGATCAGGCAGAGACACAAACCACAGCAGGGAGTTTGTCATTAAAGCCTGTTTCCTGGGAACAAAAATCCCCTCACAGTTTGGCTGCTTGCTAGGGGACCTGGGAAAAGCACTTTTATTTACCTGATCCTTGCTCCAAGACTGGCACCCACAGCCTCAAACCCAAAACCCGCACACACACCCTACACCAGTGGTCGAAGGGCCATTAACATCACGTGCAATGAACAGCCCATAGCACTAATTATATCTAAAGATGCCAAGGGACAGTTCACAAGCAAGATGGTAGGGGAAAACCAAGAGAGCACCAACAGCCCGGGGGGATATTAGATCAGTTAAGTAAAAGGCCTTTAGGCAGGTACCCTAGAAGTAAACTAACAATTAACTCTTGCAGTCCATGGGGCAGCCCATTGCAAGAGTTATTTTTCCGCCACGAGATTGGTTTTAAAGTTAAAACATGGTGGGTGATTCAGTCCACTAGTGCCTATTCAAACTTACTCAAACTTGAAATCTCAGTTTAGTTGACCTACAGATATCAATACAATGGTGTGCTGGTTATATCGTCTGCCCAACATACATTGGAAGTTGCAAGAAATAGTCTGTGCTCTTTTCTTTTGTATAGATTATTATTGTAATGCAGAGTTGGTGTATACAAGGCAGCCTATACTGGTGGCACCTTCAGCCAAGGCTGAGGGAGAAGCTGCTTGCTAACATTCGTAAACTACATTAAACATTTTCCAAGTACATTACAATGTATAAGTAATTGTTTTTTCTATTTCTGTCTTCCCAGGCAAGCATATACCTGCAAGAAACAGAGCCATGGTATGCAGGCCGAGTGTATGCTAGGTATTGGAAGCATTACAGTCAAGGAATGCAGTGGCTGTACAGGCATAAGAGAGCATACAGAATGGCTGTGGCATCTCTCTATTATCCTCCCTGGTACCTGGCTGAAATCCCTCAGGCTGGTCGCTATGCTGATTGGGAAGGGGAATCCTCTCCTCCAAGCACCTACACAGGCTCTCAAAAACAGTCACACAGGCCACGTCCATGTCTAAAGGTATCTTCTTCAAAAGACAAGGAATCTGATATGGAGCAGGAAGCTGCTGCATCAACTGATTCTGATGAAGGTGGAATAGAATGTGACATGAGCAACATGGAGATCACAGAAGAGCTACGCCAATATTTTGCACAAACCGAGAAACACAGGGAGGAACTAAGTGAGTATAACTCTTTATATATCAGTTAGTAAATACTATTAATATATAGTAAAATACAATAGGAATACATTTTCCTTATATTCGTACTGGTCACGTTTAGAGATGATCACAATTTTGCTCTTTTGGCAATTTGCCTCAACCACTCCTGCAATCTGATTCCATTTTTTTATAGAAAATAAATGTGTGGTCTCCTTAACAAGAGAAAAACGGCACACAAGGCATGTAGACTAGTATTCCTGCAAAAGGGCCACAATCATATAGGCCCCTACTATGCCAAAGCCCACTCACAGGCACCAGTCAGTTGCCTTAAAATAGATCTATAGCACACACTTTTGATTATGAAATTATTAAAAAGCAGGATTTTTTTTGTGCTGTTTGTGTCCCATTTGATAGATTTTTCCTTTTTTGTTTCTGTCCCAAACATACAACAGGAAACCTCTCAAAAGTGAGGGAATTTCCACTCTTTGTTGACCTCGGAAAAGGTGTCCCCATTGAAAGATTTCCACTCGCCTCCTGTTCTGATGTCAACCATAATGTGATGTCACATTCTCACATAATTCATTCCCACAGCTACCTCATGTATCATTTCCCCCTCCTCTTTTAGATTGTAAGCCCTCAGGGGCAGGGCCCTCCTTACCATCTTGTCTTGAATTGTATTGTAACTGTTATGTCTTCCTTATATTGTAAAGCGCTGCGCAAACTGTTGGCGCTATATAAATACTATGTAATAATAATAATCTTTTGGGTTTCCAATAACATGACAGCGGTCACCGGGACGAATTTATAGAGGATGAATATTCCCCAAGGAGGCACAGATAGCAATACAAACCTAAGAGACCCTAACTGTTCCCTATTCCTATCCAAAACAAAAAAGAAAGTTATGGCTATAGGTACAACTTAAGTGGAGGACACTACAGAATGATGGTTTCCTGGCCCTAGCTAAGGGGTCCCCTTGGACCTCTTACTAAAGGGTAACTGTGGTCAAACTTTAAAACCTTCTAGGCATTTCACCATTTGTAACTTTTTTTTTAAATTTTTTTTAACCTACTCTTATTAATCTGAACAATTTGAAAACCTACGTTTTGAAGAATCCCACACATTTTACTTCCATTCATGCATATACACCACGCTCTGTTAATATGCACTGCTGTCACCGTTTCACAGAACCTGCCTTCTGTACTACAGAGGTGCTCAGGAGGAGGAGTTTCAGGAGGCAGTCGGTGCATGAAATGTCACACACCTGACATCATCATTGCTTTCAGGGACCAGGGTACTCTGTGATATGCAGTAATCGAAAGTAAACCAAAGGATTAATCGGAGGAAAAGCAGCAAAGCATTCAGGCAAATCCAGTAAGATAGTCAGTCAGCAGATAGGCAGCTCACAAACCATGGAGATTTTAAAAGTAACTTTCATTTATAAAAAGTAGTTATTGTTTGGTCATCTGCCTGCATCTGCCATCCATCCATTTCCAGGTCTCCTCCTGTCTAAAATTTCCCTCATCTGTTCACTGACTCCTATGTGAAATCATAGTAACTGATTGTTGGAAATTCCCATGATTTACTTCCACACTTTAATTGTTAAATGCATTGTTAGGTCTTAAATAACATTGAAATAATCTGGGGTGTTTGTTTCTCTTTATGTACACTGCTTGGCAACTCTGAATTACAGCTTGTTATTAACCAAGATATGTAAAATGTGAAAGGCATTCAGATTTTCTTATATTTGTGGCTTTGTATGGCTGCATTTTCCCATTTGGCTGATAAATCGGTTGCATCAGAATCAGCTGTCCAAAGTCTCCTTTGTACAGTAAAAAGAGTGATAGGAAAATAGTTGATATAATTGCATGTAGGAATGATATGGAGTGATATATGTGAACACTAGGGATGCACAGATACTTTTCGAGTACCAGTGCAGATACTTGGCATTTTCATGAGAACTACAAGGGTTGCAGCTGGGATCTAGCTCTGGCACTCCACCACTGTCCTAAAATCATTAGTCTGTATTGTTTTAGAAAAACTGTCACATGACAATAAACAAAAATGTATCAGTACTCGTACTTGTAAGTACTCGGCAAGTACCAGTACTCGTACTCGCAAAACTGGTATCTGTGCATCCCTTTATATTTATAAAAACATAATCGTACATTAAAACAGAGATGTACAAATCCCAGGAGCTCCGTGTGCGCCTTTACACATGACGCTACCTCCTAATTTTTGAATTTTTCTCTAGTGTAGTCTTGGGGCTCATAAGTATCGGTACTTGTACTGTACTTGGTATCTGTGCAACCCTAGTGAACACCATCCTGATTTCGTTTATTCCTTTTTACTTACGTTCATATTTCATTTTCACACATCTATATATTTCCATCTGGTTGATCTGAATATGGGATATTCTTATGCTTCAATATTGGCTCCGTTTTCTTCCATGTTCACAGATTTGTTTAGGTTTTATTATAGATTGACGTGATCATGTAAAATAACCTTGCAGCACTCCAAAAGAGAGAACCTAAAGTATGCCCTGTTTCTGTAGTGCAGAGAGAAAGTAGCGTAGTGTGTTCTTGATAGAGCTTGTGCTTTATGGCATCCCATTTACTTTGCCTAAGAGATGATCATGCTCCGCTTCGCTAAAAACATTGCAATCCCACACTTCAAAGTTTCCATAACAACAGAACAGAGTGCTTAGAAAGGCTCCTTTGACGGGACTCAATAGGGCCTCCAAGTAGGAGAGAGCTGGAAGCTCCAAAGGAACAAAAGGGAGAAGAACACAGTCTGAAATTGATTCACAGCTTTCTAAATGTGTACCCTTCTTTTTTTTTTTTGAACCTTAAAGTAGAGCATATATTGTTTAAAATTAAGCTTCCACTTCCACTATAAGGCTGAGCTCTGCTATAATGTAAACGTCAATTGTTGGTTTTCATGCAAAATTCTTCCTTTGGAAGGTTACAGTAGTCACTGTGTGTTCCCTTTTTTAGAGAGTGACTTTCTTGAAACCAAATCAATCCTATTCAGATGCTCTCCAAGTCAAATGTTCAACAGCTGCCTGCTTGCTCAGCTGTTCAGATGGTCAAATATAAAATAAAATTGACAATGTTGTGTATGTATGTAACCGAATTAGTCTTCAGTATTTAATTGGGTAGATATTAGTGGCGTGTTGGATCTAAGAGTATGCACAAGTTCTCTAGTCTCAAAAGGCAACTCTTTGTCATCAAGAGTATCCCATGAGTCCCTGGAAAAAATCCAGAAAACAATATTGTGAAGAGTGATAACGCCACAACCATATACTGTGTTTCCCCAAAAATAAGACACTGTCTTATATTTTTTTTGGCTCCAAAAAACACACTAGGTCTTATTTTCGGGGTAGGTCTTTTGTTGTAAATTTAAAAAAAAATCCACACTTATTCATGTACAACAGTCTACATGTATTCATGTACAAAAATATGGTGATCAGGGAAATCAGGGGTGCTGTACCTTTCCAAGAGCAATTTGCTAACCAATCGCTCGCCAGAATGAGCAAAGCGCACTTTCACTATCCCTCACAGGCTGAGTGCATTTGGTATCACTCCGCCTGTGACAGGAGCCGGCGCTATAGAGGAGGCATCGGCTTATGCGGCTCTGCGCCCTCCAGTGCTGCCTTGCTTCCTCTAGCGCTGGCTTCGTTGGCACCGCTGATTCTCTCCTGCCTTTTCCCGTGGCTCTTCAAGTTCCTCCTTATGCCACCACCGGCCCTGGGAATGGTCATAACTATGTATTATTTTCGGGGTAGGTGTTATATTTTAGCAATTCCCAAAAATAGTACTAGGTGTTATTTTCGGGGAAACAGGGTAGTTATTCCACTATAACTTAATAAATCCTAACACAAAGTCTGTAGAAAATAACCAACTTGTTTCAGGGGCTCACTATTTCCCATTCATCAGGACTGGTGATCCAACAATGAAGATCCTTGTTTAGGAACTTTCTGTGATAAGGTGACAGCTTCTTCCAGGTAATATTGATGACCAGCACTTTTGGTATAATGGCAAGTAAGGCTAGGAGCAAACAGATGGATCCCTAGAAAGATTTTTTTCATGGCAGGATAACAGGTCCTGATGAGGGGGAATTTGTGAGCCCATGGATAACACGTTGACTATTTTCTGTGAACTTTGTTACAAGATTAATAATGTTAGTCAGTTTTTTTCAGTATTGGTAGTGATCAAACACTGAAAGTATTAAAGTTGTGTCTTCGCCAAACAAAAAAAAGCATTGTGAGATTCCTTTCTTCGATATGCAGAACTAGATCATTTGTTCTTATAAATGTGGATGCATACAGACCAGAACCATTTTTGGCGTGAGGTGCGCATCTTATTTCAAATGACACATCGGTCAAGGTCTCACCTTACCTTGTAGCCAAAACTGCGTTTAGTCTTCCCAAAAGTGATATTTCAGCTTTGTTGGAAAATTTAAAACTGCACTTTGGGCAAACAGCCAAACACAGATAAAAAACATTCATGGGTGCTGTTTGCCTGCCAAAGGATTGTATTTCTGTCGATCCAGTCCTGAGATTTACATTTGCAATTAAGAACACTTACAGGTCTTTTTTCCTTTCCGCATCCTGGGACTGGACATTAAACGGAGAAACATCACACTGCATTATCTCTTAACACTGCTCCATGCCCCTATAAGTATGTTCCTACATGACCACTCCAGCGTAACTGGTTTTCACCATATGCTGCTTCTCCCTCTCAATATGCTGTTAAGGGACTGGAAGAGGCTAATACCCAATAAAATTCAGCTACTTGCACTGTTTGCATTAAAAACCATGAGCTGGGAATAGCTATTAACTTATCAAAGGTATTGTAGCTTTGGAATTCATTCATATCTGGCATGAACTTTCCGAGTACTAATGTGTATTCCATCATGTGTTATCTGTTCAGGCTTAAAGGAAGAGGGGGAGGATAACTACTGCTTTTTCCAATGACAATAGACAATTTTAGCAATTTATGGCTTTTTGTTAAAGTACTGTAAAAGAGCTCATATAGATATAATATTCCTTCCTAATGTATTTGCAGATTATGCTACCCGGTCATAGATTCAGGGGTGGGCTGCGCAAGATATGCCTGTGAATCCTGCATAAGTAAACTTTAATATATTACTGTATGTGCAATCACTAGTAGCATGTCAGAAGGATTAAACTGAATATAGCAATTGTTTTGGCATAGTCTATTGTTAACTCCCATCATAACTCTAGGGAGCTGAGATTTCCTTTTTCTTGGATCATACCTAATTGGACTTGGTGTATGGTCACACACAGAGAAAGGATCACATTTCTGTTTATATACTTTTATGCTGCGTTTAAGGACAAATAGTACATTTCCTCTTTTGAGAGACCTGGCTAAAGATCCATTATCTTCTCTTCCTAAGATTGTGACAAGTCTTGATTCATGTTCATTGGCTTGTTCATCTAACTGCTATTAGCACTTGAATCAAGGCTTTGATACATATCTTATCTATGCATTTCTATGCCACTTATTATTATTCAGGATTTATATAGCACCAACAGTTTGTGCAGCGCTTTACAATATAAGGAAGACATTACAATCACAAGACAAGATGGTAAGGAGGGCCTTACTTTCTTCTCGGCTGTTAAAATACATCTAAAATCTCATATCCGCTTTATTATATTAAAAAGGAACTTCACTCTTCCAATGCAAATCTCATTCCTCTTCCCACTTACCTTTTTGGTGCTTTTGTTATGCTGTAATAATATACCTACAAGCCTATAGGGTTCAGTGTTGTCTTCTTGCCCTGCTGTCCTGTCCCATGCCACATTCTTTTTTTGTTTACATCATGGAGAGCCAGCTGTCTCTTCTTGGATCTTGCAGTCACCCACCTTTCAAAGTATTGCTCATCCACATACAGAAATCTGGCGCCATGTCCACTTTTCATACTGTTCTATGAATGGAGGATAGTAATGCCTCCTGGGATAGCAACATTACATATTCCATGAGGAATTTCTTTTCACCAATCATAGAACAATATGTAAAGAAACATGATGTCAGATTTCTGCACATGTGCCGGTCTGGTGCCTCCTTTCTTTACTTCCCCCATTCTATGTGGGTGGGGGGTGTCAATTACACACATGGGCTCAGGAAAGTGGTTTAAATGACACTGGCTGTCTTTCAACCCGCAAGACTAGTGCAATTTAGTAGCAGAAAGGAATTATTGAGCAGGACAGCTCCAGGCTGATGGTGAGCATTGCAGCAGATACAGCAATTTTTTTTTTCTCTGTAATTTTGTTGGGTTCTTATTTAAAATGCTTCCATTTAATGATCTTCAGGTAGAATTGTTTGTTACGTTCTTAAAGTAGGTGTCAATTCTAAATTGTGTCATGAACAAAACATTTGGAGCTGGCATCAGATGAAAGGTCATTTATTTCAAAGTACACTGACCTTTGCTGTCCATGTGATCTGCACCACCCCTTAAAGTGGAGGAAAAGGCTACCCAATAACGTACCTATTTAATGCTTTCACTTTGCTCTGCTCCTCTCTGCCTACATTTTGTAATTACTTTCAAAACACACTTTTTTTTTCCTGTCTTTTTCTATGTGGCCCCTCCCTCTCTTCCCCTGTTCAATAACCATGGGAGCTGTGGACACCAGCAGGATGATGTAACTGCTACAGGGGATTCAACACTGTTGTCAAACCCTTCACAATACAGAGAAGTACCAGAGCTTTCCAGTCACATGACCACGTAGAACAAATTTAAAGAAACACTATTTAGAAAGCAGTTTATTAAATGTAGGCAGAGAGGGTCAGAGCCAAGGGGAATTCTCATTAAACAGGTATGTTATTGCTTTATTTGCTCTGTGAACCTGCCTGTCTGTATGCTGACTATATTTACCTGCAGTAAGTAAAAACAATCAAGTAAAGCAACGTACAAAGGAAACGGCATCATTAAGGTGTATGTGGCTATTCATGTGAATTATTGACGCCCTAATCTGAAAATGTGGCCCTTTTTGTTGTTGTGTTTATACTGCTTTGTGTGTAGTGAGATGACTTATTAGTGGTTACATGGAACAATATTTTTTTGTTTTTGTAGACCTGTGTTTAGGACAGGACTCCGAGGTCTGTTCCCATAGCCTCTGTGCTGGAGTTATGTATACTGTGACCACATTTCTATTGGTCTTATTATTCTTCCCGAGAGGAAGGATGGTGTTCTGTTTCATAAAACAGCAGACATACTTGGATGCTTCATAATGCGATTGCCACCTACTCACTGCTTATTGTTTCAGCTTTGTCTTATTTCATCTTATGAGGTCTTTTGCTAACTGTTTGTCTTCCTGAAAGCTATCTTTTTTACAGAATTAATTGTATCCAAGCTGCTTCTATAACTGTATGAATGATTAAGAAAAATGTAAAGTCCCTTTTTTAACGGGAGCGTCTTTTTATCAGCAAATTTCTCTTGTCGTTATTATGTGCCACAAGGATTTTTTTTAATGCTATTTTACGCTTTTAAATAATATATGTGTTGATATCTAAAAGCTGCTGGGACTTCTAACACTTGCGTAGAGGCACTGCTCTGGGCAACACAGGTCCAACTCTTCATTATTGCATACTGACACCTTTGCCCTTTATGTTAGTTTATTTCATGGATGGGATAACACATTTATTTTAGAACTTTCTAGTAGCATCAGCATGGGCACAAGGTTGCTTTTAAACATGGGTTTTGCAACCAGTGCCGTCATGTCACAAATGTTTCTACACATTTCACTCTTTTAAAGTCCTTGCTTCTGTAAATGTAGAACCCCTGAAATATACCATATCTGTTCTGTTTATGATCAACACATGTTTAAAAAAGAGCAGCTTCATTTTTTCCACTTGATGCTTTCTTTTTTCCAACCTGGCACTCGCAATGCAAGAGATTTTGCACATTCCCATATCCCACCTCCCACTTCCCCCTCATCGCCCTTTTGTATGCTTAAGCTGTGCATCTGCTGCCATCAACCAGGGAAACTGTGACTCAAGGCAGGAATCATAAAATCCAGGGGCTTCACACCCATAAATTGTGAATTCTGAGTGGACAGCTTTTCTGCATTACAAGGTACAGAGCGTGTGATGGTTCTGGGACTAGATTGGCCGTCTGTCTTCTAAACTATATTCTAGAAAGTCTTGTATACAACATCATTTATCATAATACGTTTTAGTGACTGCAGTTTTTACTGAAAGGAAAGAAAAAAAAAAGTTTTAGCTTGGTCATGTTTACAATAATGGTACAGCACTTTACGATCTGCTAGTAAGCCTTGCAACCTAATCTCCACACCATTGGGAGGAAGCTAATGTTTGTGATGGAACATCTACAAAACTACAGCAGTCACTCCACACAGTCAGATCCTTGTGACAGAATAAAACTCAAGACCCCAGACCCATAGATATAACATGACCCACTAAGCCATTGTCCTTGGGAGCATCCCCATGGGAATAGACCTTGGATTCTTTTATTGTTGAACTGTGGGATTGGAAGTAGATGTGAAAGTATAAAGACACTGGATCTTGGCTCACCTGACTCTTTTATGATGTTCATTACTATATCTGCACACCTAACTTTTTTTTCTTTTTTTTTTACATGTGTCATTTCAGAGAGGCAGCAGCAGCTGGAGGCAGAAATGCATGAACAGTATGTAGATGCAGGTCATGACCTCCACATCCCCACAAAACGATCCACACAACCTCCTTCTGAGCGGCCCGGAGAAAGGCGCAGAATAGAGATGAAGAAACTTTATGGAGAGGATGCAGCTAAAATCCAAGGAATGGAAACTGCCATACAGCTCAATTTTGACAGACGGTGCGATAAGAAACAGCCCAAGTACTGGCCAATCATCCCATTAAAGTTATAATCCTATAGACTACGATCAGAACACTTATGTAATGTTATTGTCAGACACTGCAGCTGTATCAACATGTGCATTTAACCAAGTGACTTATGTTTTCCATCAGTTACCTCTACATCATTATAGCAATAGCTAAATGCACTTATGAACTGTATAGTTTCAACAAATAAAGTATGATGGTTTTTTTTATATTATTCCTGCCTGTTCAGGATTTTATATATAAACCTAGCTTGCATATTATTGATTTTTCTCACCGTGTAATAACAAAATAAAGGAAAAAAAGAATTTATCAGAATTTCTAGCATGCAGAGTTTAAGAGGATTTCCACTTTTAGGATACAAGAGTGGTTATGTCAGTGGTGGAGATTTTACTTGGGACAGTCCCCTGTTGTCCTTTACTTTGGTACAGGGGCAGACTGGCAATTGCCCCCCGGGCCTCTCTGGTGCCTGTAAAAACGGCCGCCAGCACAGCGGCAATCTCCCCTCTCGGCCGCTTGGATCCTGCAGAGAAGAGGCTCTTCAGCTGCCTGTGATAAGCCCGTGTAGTGCTCGAGCTTCTCGGCAGCTGCCTCCAGCTGCATTACTGACCGCTGCACGGCGTTACATGCTGACCGCTGCACTGCGTTACATGCTGGACTGCATTACTGACTGCGTTACATGCTGACTGCTGCACTGCGTTACATGCTGACTGCTGCACTACATTACATACTGACTGCGTTACATGCTGACTGCTGCACTGCGTTACATGCTGACTGCTGCACTGTGTTTCATGCTGGCTGCTGCACTGCATTACATGCTGACTGGAGCACTATGTTACTGACAGCTGCACTTTGTTACATGCTGGCTGCTGACTGCTACACTGTTACTGACTGCTGCACTGCGTTACTGGCTGCTGCACTGCACTACATACCGACAGCTGCACTGCATTACATGCTGCACTGCGTTACTGACCTCTGCACCACGTTACCTGCTGCACTGCGTTATATGCTGACTTCTGCACTATGTTACTGACCACTGCACTGCGTTACTGCTGCACTGAGTTACATGCTGACTGCGGCTCTGTGTTACTGATCGCTGCACTGTGTTACATGCTGACTGCTGCACTGCGTTATATACCGACCGCTGCATTGCGTTACTGACAGCTGACCTCTGCACTGCGTTACATGCTGACTAATGCACTGCGTTACATGCTGACTGATGCGCTGCATTACTGACCACTGCACTGCGTTACATACTGACCACTGCACTGCGTTACATGCTGACTAATGCACTGCGTTACATGCTGACTGATGCGCTGCATTACTGACCACTGCACTGCATTACATACTGACCGCTGCACTGCGTTACATACTGACCGCTGCACTGTGTTGCATACAGACCTCTGCACTACATTACGTACTGACCTCTGCACTGGGTTACATGCTGACCTCTGCACTGGGTTACATGCTGAACTCTGCACTGGGCTACATACTAACCGCTGACCTCTGCACTGGGTTACATACTTACCGCTGACCTCTGCACTGGGTTACATTCTGACCTCTGCACTGGGTTACATTCTGACCTCTGCACTGGGCTACATACTGACTGCTGACCTCTGCACTAGGCTACATGCTGACCTCTGCACTGGGCTACATACTGACCTCTGCACTGGGCTACATACTGACCTCTGCACTGGGCTACATACTGACCTCTGCACTGGGCTACATACTGACTGCTGACCTCTGCACTGGGTTACATGCTGACCTCTGCCCTGGGTTACATACTGACCGCTGACCTCTGCACTGGGTTACTTACTGAGACCCTCCCCACCCCTTCCGAGACCTCCACACGCCTCCTGACACCCTCTGACAGGCTGACACCCCGGAGCAGAGCAGCAAAGAGTATGTAGCACATTAATATACTATTATTTAGCATTGCTGTATAATGTATTGCTGGGATTTGTAGTCCTCTATAGCTGATGGTAATATTCTGCATTGCTGTATAATGTGCAACAGCCCATCCCCCAGCCAGTCACCCCTTTCATGGACTGACTAGTGAGTCCCCACATCACCTGACCATTCACACTACCTTAACATGGATGGCAAAAGTGTCAGGCAGGGGCAGAGAGAACAGGCAAAGCGGGAGGTGAGCCAAGTCGCTGCACCATGGGCCTCTGGGTTGTACTTGCCCCCTGGGTTAAAAGTTGCCAGTCAGCCCCTGCTTTGGTATCTTGGGACTGCCAGGGACTGGTAAACATCCCATAGTTTAATAGAAAGCAGATGCATTGCATGTCTTGAAACTGCAGTGAAACTAGCGACTTTCTAATGCTGGGGTGCTTGCTGGCAAAATGCTGGGTAGGAGAATGGGAGGTGAAAATAAATGGATGTGAAACAGAAGCTTTACTTTTTTTTCTTTATTTATTTTCGGGGTGGAGGAATGGTTGCAATCCCTTGAAAAATCTTTAGCTACAAAATGAGAGGATGATCTGCTAACAGGATGAGGTACTCCAGAATATGCTTTTCTTATGGCTGTCACAAGATCTCAAGAGGGGCTGATAGGAACCAGCAAGATGTTCTATTTTTGTAGTTTATACAAGAAACATAACAGGGACTCTGCACTCTTTTACAGTTTGTTAGCCAGTAATTGTATCACATTTTTAATTGCATCATGTAGCTTATTCTACAAAGGGTCACTCCGTACTCCTGAGACCGCAATTCTCTGGAATTCACTAGAGCGTTACTAGGCCTTAACATGGTTATTCAAAGTTTTACTTGCAAAGCTTCTCTGTGTGCTTGCTTTACACACTGGGTCCCTTGCTTGGCACCTCCTGAAACCCTTGGTACATGTACATGCTAACCAATAGGAAGGTGCATTGTATAGGAAGGTGGCATGGCCAAAGCCAGCTACCCGGAACATGGATATCGAGATTGTAGAGTATCAGGTACAGCGAGCAGCTGTTAGTGCATGCTATTCATAGCAGGTAAGAAAAAAAATTACCACATTGGTTTGTTTTATATAATTTTATATAAAATGTAATCTAAGTCTCATCCCTCAGTTAATGTTGGACACTGGTTGGCTAAAACATCTGCAGGCTGCTGATAATTATAACTGTAGGCCATTTAAAAGTCAGAGCCTCCCAAAATCCCCCCCGTGCCACAGCAATGTCTCCCACAATTTCAGGCCAGTGAGGTAGTTTTTGTTCTGTTGCCGAATCCTTCATTATGCACACTTGTGGCTGTCGTATTGTAATCCATCAGTATGATATGGAACCTGGTGATCAAGTAAGTTCATGTGCCATTATAAGAACCCAACTGATGTGTCAGTCTTCTCCTGTCAACCCATACTGATTAGCAGTCTTATACGGATTTAGATGTGAAGATTCTATGGAGCTGTTTTGGAAACATTGGGCTTACTATGGTTTCCCTTTTAATGTTATAGTAATAGTTTTACAATAGTATAGATTTGCTTTCCCTGCTCAGAGATTTGACACTTCTTTAAAAGCTTGACAATACACAGACTAAAGGAAATCTGTTTACACCTAGACCAGGGGTCAGCAACCTTAAACACTCAAAGAGCCATATGGACCCGTTTCCCACAGAAAAGAAAACGCCAGGAACCACAAAACCCTTTTGACATCTAAAATGAATATAACACTGCAAATATATATTTGTTTACCTTTATGCTATGTATAGCATGTATATAGGTATATGTGGGCTTAGTAACACATACCCGAGACCCCGCAAAGCCCACCTGAGAGTGGCCCTGCAGAGCACACCATAGATCCTGCAGAGCCCATCTGAGACTCTCTATAGTGGGCTCTGCGGAGCCTTAGGTGGGCTGGTCGCCGGGGTCCCTTTCCCTGTACTTCCTCCCAACTCCTCTTACCTGCTGCTGCTGGGGGCCTGGCCTCCTCCACCCCCTCCCCTGTCACCTCTGCCATGCCGCCCCTGGTACAGCTGATGCTCATATAAGAGGCCCCCCCCAGGCTGCCTAGACCCCCTCACATGGGTACTGGCCGTACCCTCCTGATGGCAGTGTTCTATCAAAGTTTTTGACTAGTTTGGAATGTGTGACCGGTGATGTGGTAACACATTTCAATGTAATCCCGCCCAGTTTTTTGGCGGTGGAACGTGTGACCGCCAATAGCTCAAGCATTCCAACACTTTCTCAGCTGTTCCGGGGCAGACCTGCATCGCAAATCGTATGTGCAGGAGAACTGATCTGTCGTGGAACAGCTGTTCCGTCCTGAAATGTCACTTCTATCCGACTCTGAGTGTGATCTCACATTCCACCCCACTCACAAAGTCGGATAGAAGTGGCATTTCAGGAGCGAACAGCTGTTCCAGGACAGATCAGTTCTCCTGCACATACGATTTGCAATGCCGATCTGCCTTGGAATAGCTGGGAAAGCGTTGGAATGCTTGACCTATTGGCGGTCACCGGTCACACATTCCAAACCAGTCACAAACTTTGATAGAACAGTGGCCCTGTTTAATCATTTAATCAGATAAATAGATTATAATAGGGAACATCACAGTGTAATGTTCCCCTTTATAATCCACTTTTCTAATTAAATGGAATAACAGCACACAGTGTGCCCTTCAGGGGGCGGGGCATGTGACACACACTTCTCTCCCACCGCCTGTTACTAGACGCAGTGGGGAGAGGAGGTGAGTCACAGGACCCGCCCCCTTGCTGAGAAGCCCGTCGGCAGTGCAGGGCCCCGAGACCCTGCACTGCCGCATATTCCACCAGGGGGGGTGCCCAGGATCGGACCTCCCTGGCCCCCCCACAGCCTCAGGCACTCGGCGGTGGTTCCACCCCTGGACAGGGAGCCGCAGCAGAGGGATGAAAGAGCCACATGCGGCTTGCTGACCGCTGACCTAGACCCATAAAATAAGCTTATCTATATATTTGCACACACTAATAGTGAAAATAACATGCAAAAGGTAAAAAAAACAACCATACATTTGAAGATGGACACCTTATGTCCCTCACGTACAAATTCATCTTAGTATATCCATATGAATAGATTTTTTTGTGTGTGTGAAAAGGTAGAATTACTTGCAAAATGATTTTTGTTTATCCTATTCTCATTTTCTCTCCTGTGAGCTATTACTATGTCAATTGGAATCTGAACATTCTCAAATAATGTTAGCTTTGTCTGTTGAATAAAAAAAAATTTAATAGCATTTTTTCATGCTGCTACGCTTATATTATTGCGGACCTTTACACTAAAAAATCAGATTCTGCCAATCCCTCTATGTATGATGATTAATAATAACATAGG